AATTTTGCAAATTTCCTTCCAGGTCTTACCGTATTTACTGCAGCCCTCATGCATGTTGTACTGCATATTTTGAAAAAAATTGATATTTATAGTATTTCTACATGTTTCTACCATAGTCCTCATAATTATACTTTTTAGTGACTGAACAATAGTCAACAAATGGGTATACCGAAATTTCCTGTCATTGTTTTTTCAACATTTCCATTATCCCTATTTTTCTGAATTATAGGTAATGCTCTTATGTACATCTTGGGGCGTATATGATTTAGTTTCTGCTGTTACAGCTTCAGGAGAAATTTCTAGGCTTCAAGTTACTGGATCAAAAGATACAGTTTTATGATTGTGTCAAGTGCTCCTAAATTGCTTTCTAAAAATATGTGAATTGATAATGTGTATTAGTTATCTATTGCTGCATTAAAAATGACCATAAAGCAAAGTGGCTTAATATAATCCACATTTGTTGTCTCGTTTCTGGGGGTGGGGATCCAGGCATGGCTCAGCTGTGTCCTCTGCTTTAAGGTGTCTCATAGGTTGCAGTGAAGGTGTCGGGTGGGGCTAAGGTCTCAACTGAAAATCTGGGGAAGGATTCTCTTCCAAGCTCACATGGCTGTTGTCAGCATTCAGTCCCTTGTGGGCTGTCGAACTCAGGGCCTCCCTGCAGAGATAGCTGTTGGTCAGAGGCTGCCCTGAGTTCCTTGCCACGTGGGCCTCTCCAGTATGGCAACGTGCTTCACCAAAGCATACGTCCAAGGAGATAATAGTCTGCCAGCAAGACAGAAGTCACAATCTTTCATAACACAACCACAGTAGTCAGAATCTATGGTTTTGAACCAAGGGGAACAAGGGGAGAGGACGACACAAGACTGAGAATACCAGGAGCTGAGATCACTGGGGACCACCTTGGAGGCTGCCTGCTACAAATGTACCAAGAGCGCATGCTTGTACCAATTTCCCCACCACCTCACTAATGCTAAATTCTCTAGTACTTAAAAATGACCAGTATAGGAGGTGTAAAAGGCCATCTCCCATTTAATGTCTTCTTCTCCAGTGCTTTTTTTTGATTGAATTACGTTTATTAATATACACATCAAGTTATTGAAAGTGACGTCATGTAGTTTTCTCCTTAAAGATGGCACTTGCAGGTACAGAGATGCAGAGATGTCTTCTCCCCCAGGGCCACCTGGGTCCTCTGCTCTCAGCTGCTGCCAAGTAATTTCCCAAAAGGTGTCAACTGAGAGCAACCTAAAGAACCACCTGCACCAGGGCTCTGAAAGCTTTGAGAGGAGACCTGTGTGAGGCAGCAGGGAGTTCCCGGTGGGGCAGGGGGTCCAGCCTCAACACACTGCTGGTATTTCGGAAGCAACTCCAAGACCTGAGCCCCCTGGTACTTGTACCACTTAAAAGCACTAACATTTAGGAACCAGTCTTCTTTAAAAACTTACTGTAAACCCTCTCTGGGATTCACATTTTGCAAATTTCATTTTACTTTCACTGTCAAAACAATGCTGTAAGATATATATCAATGTCCCCATGTTACAGATAGGACACTCAGAATCAGAGGTGCAAAATCACCTGTTCCAGATCACTCTGCTAGAGTGGCAGGACCAGAATTTGAACCCATAACTGGTTGCCCAGTCTAGGTTCCCTCTCTGACTCCTGAGGTCCCCTTGTCCTCAGCCGGGCTCTGTAACACCCCGCTTCCACCCCATTGCCACCTCAGCACTACACATGACAGATTAGGTGGCCCCTTCCTCTTCAGTTAGCAGAAAGGGTCTTCCCTGGTAGTTCCAAAAGGCTCTGCTCAGTGACCATTTTTTTCCTGATAAAAGAGGTGATCTGGAAAGTCACCTTTAACCAGCATTTAATCAGGAAAGTCTCTCTAACCAGAGAAAGATTACACAGTCCATAGTACAAGTTTGAACTAAGGAACCCTCAGGATAACTAGGACAGTATAAATGTAGGGTTTTGAGATTGGGATCTGGAGCCAGACTGCCAGCTCCTAATCCTGGTTCTTCCACTTAGAAAGCTTTATGATTTGGGGCAAACTTCTTCACCGTTCTGTGCTATTTGCTTGCCTGCAAAATCAAAATAACATTACCAATTACATATTCCAATTTGGGGAGATTTAAAAAATATCTCTAAGAACCTAGCAGTGTCTGGTGCCCCCAAAAGATCCGTAAACAGTACTGTAAGGATGTAGCAGGCAGGAGGTCTCACTGGGTGAGGACCCACGCATCCATTCTGGACCTAGTCTATGATACGTGCACACATGGAGAAAAGGATGCGCCCAGCTCCGGGCATGGTTGCATGGGGCCCAGTGCTGTGAACTCTGGCTGGCGGAGACGAGGGTCAGGGATGGGCAGAGCCCCTGCCAGCACCATGACTCTGGGACCCAACTCTTCATATTCTGAACATGTAGGGGACACGATTCAACAGAATACGTTCTCTAGGGATCCAGGCAGAGACTGATGACCGAGGCCCGCAGCAGGCATCTGGGAAGGAAGGATGCGGGGCAACATTTACAGGGGAACTTGCTGCCACCTGGCCCATCTGCGCAGCCTTAGAACGTGGTTTTTCACCTTTCTGTGATCAATCCCTGAGCTGCTTTCAGAGGTACAAAGTATCACAGAATTTGGGGGGCCCCTGGTGCCTTGGGTAGTAATCTGTGCCCTAAAGGAAGTGACACACAAGTGTCCTGGTTTCTCCACTGAAGTCAGCAGTCCTGGAAGACTGGTGCCAGGCCATGTCCTTGGAAAGTCCCAAGTTGGGAAGACAGGACAGGGTCACATATGACCCATAATGGCCTTGCCCAGGGTGTCCAGCTAGCCTTCCTGTAGTTGCTCAAAGGAGA